TCTCTCGCGGGGCACGTTTCTCTCATTCATGCGGCTCGCGCAGCCGCGCCCGCCCCCGCTCACTCTCCCATTCACCCATGGCCCCCACCCCCACGCCGCTCCAGGGCGTGCGCGCGAACCTCGGCGACCGCGGCGACCTCGCGCTCTGATTGGATGCAGAAGCACAGCGCCGTACGCACGCGAGAAAACGAGAACGCGCGCGCAAGGCCGCCGGGTTCCGCAGACGACTGGGAGAGGAGGGTTGGCGTATTGCGCAGGAGCCAGAAATGGGGAAATGGCCGGACGAGTCTTCCGTTTTCCTGCGTCCTGTTTTCTATTCCTACCGTATCCAAGCAGAAGTCCTGGAAAGTAAAAAATAATTATATGTGTATACTGGAAGTACGCAAAAGCAAGCAGCTACCCTCTCGAATTCGCCAAACCCCCTCCAAGTAAGTGTGGTACAGTCCAGACAGGCTTCTGGTATAACCAATCACGGATGGGTCCCGCCGTCTTCCTGCCTAAATAGCCTTCCCCCTTCTTTTTTTTTTTTTTTCTTTTTTGATAGGGAAAACTTTATTTAAAACAATCTTGATGGAGCAGTCTTCGGTCTGCCGAATTCTTTGGTACCAGCAGAATTCCAGGATAATGGAATGATCTGGGCTGTGGCTTCCGCATGGAGGGGGCGCCGGGACTAGAAGAATCAGTGTGGGGCGAAGCTCCTGCCAAAGACCAGGGAAGAAGAGGAAGGAGAGAGGGCGCGAGCGCGAGGCTGGGAGCCGTAGTGCCAACTACGCTGCACAGGGAGTGCTCGCCATCTGCGGCGATGGCCACCCGCCGTAGTGCGAGCTGGCTCTTGGCTCCGCTTAATTCTCTTAGTTTCTCACTGCAATACAGGAGATGGGCGCCCGCTTCCCTAACCTCGCACCAATCCGGGAATACAGGCTGGAAGGAAAAGGTTCTCTAGAAGCTCCTGTCCCTAGCGAGCTGCTGGCCAACTCTACGTAGAACACAGCGCCACACTTTGCCCTCATTAGCCCTAGAGAGCTGTGAACCAAGACCAGGACCAGGTGTTCTCTCAGCTCGGGGCCTTTTTTCTTTTGAAAGCAGTTCTGGCTATTACATAATAGTTTTTCAAAAAAGAGAGTTCCACCAGCCGCTTCTCTGAAGCCAAGGTTCCTCACCTATAAAGTATGATTCTAAATCCTGGGCTCTGTTTTTGGGTTTGGTGTCAAACGTTGCTGGTTTAACTGTGGTCTGATACTTTAGCACTAAGCAGCATGGTAAAGGAGAAAGGTTTACCTTCTGTTTTCTGGGGTATGATCTAGTTCCTTCTCTGACATGGTGTATATATCAGGTTTCAGTCATTCTTGCCAAGGGCTTCAATCCACCATTTATTGCAATACACTTGAGAGTTCTCTTTTTAATGACAGTGTGTATTAAAAAATGAAATCTTTTTTCACTCATATGTGGAACATAAACATAGATAAAGAGAACTGATTGGTGGTTACCAGAGGGGAAGGGAGTGGTGGGAGGGCAAAAGGGGTAAAGGGGCACATATGTATAATGATGGATTAAAAACTGGACTACTAGTAGTGAACACGATGCAGTCTACACCGAAACAAATGTAATAACATACACTTGAAATTTACACAATGTTATAAGCCTATATGACCTCAATAAAATAATTTTTTAATTAAATCTTTAAAATACTTTTGACCTTATGAAAGATAAAATTAAGGATGTTTAATAGAACATAAGGTTAAACTGCCAGCTACTTTTGAAAAGTATTGCACAGTAAAATCTAGGCTAAAATAATGGGATATCCAGACCACCAAACTTCAAATAAATTACTTTGCTGTGTATATCAAGTAATACGTTTTGGTTTTTCTAGTATAGTTTATACTTTCAAATCCTCTTCACTTGCAATTCCTCATGCCTATAGATGGCAAACCACAGGGTCGTTTTTAGTTCAACTCACTGGTAAATAAACAGGCAGACAAGAACAAAATGCTGCCCTTGGGTTTAGACGTAATCGGAGAAGAATGCCCTGCCTTTCAGCACCAAAACCACCAGTGACCTCTGTATGTTTAAATACTGCTGCCTTCCCTTCTGTCGTTATGAAATGTCCCTGCTTGTGCTAAAGGACAATTTCTCCCCTTGTGCTCTGGATCCCATCCCCTTCACTCTTGCATTTTCTTCCAAAATTTTTGACATTTTACTTGAAAAATGTAAAACATACAGGAAAAAAAACAGAATAGTGTCAAGAACACACCAATACCCATCATTAAATTCTCTCCCACTAGAGTCTGTTAATATGCTGAGGCATCCTATCTAAACAAACAAACAACCCTCCCTTGACCCCATATCCCACCCTGCTTTCTTAGCAAAGCTTTTTGAAAGAGTTGTCTATAGTTGTTATCTCTACTACTTCAGTTTATATCTCCTCAATATATTTCAATATGACCTTTTTTCCCTAGTATTCCAAGACTGCACCCTTCAAGGTCAATACTGACATCTATGCTTCCAGATCCACTGTCAAGTCTCCTTTGCTAGCTCCCATTCTACTTCACCTCATATTGTTTGGATTGCCCTGAAAGTCCATCGTCTGATTATTTATTTATTTACGTATGTATGTATTGATTGAATGAGGAAGATTAGCCCTGAGCTAACATCTGTTGCCAATCCTCTTTTTGCTGAGGAAGATTGGCCCTGGGCTAACATCCGTGCCCATCTTCCTTTCTTTATATGTGCGACGCCGGCCACAGCATGGCTTGATAAGTAGTGAGTAGGTCCGCGCCCGGGATCCAAACCCAAGGCCACCAAAGCAGAGCGTGAGAACTAAGCCACTAGGCCACCGGGCTGGCACCCAATGGTCTGCCTCCCGATTTCTATTTACACGGTCGAAGTGACTTCATCAAAAACCACTGCTTTCGGGCCGGCCCCGTGGCTTAGCGGTTAAGTGTGCACGCTCCGCTACTGGCAGCCCAGGTTCGGATCCTGGGCACGCACCGACGCACCGCTTCTCCGGCCATGCTGAGGCTGCATCCCACATACAGCAACTAGAAGGATGTGCAACTATGACATACAACTATCTACTGGGGCTTTGGGGAAAAAAAAAGGAGGAGGATTGGCAATAGATGTTAGCTCAGAGCTGGTCTGGTCTTCCTCAGCAAAAAGAGGATTAGCATGGATGTTAGCTCAGGGCTGATCTTCCTCACAAAAAAAAAAACAAAAAAACAAAAAAAAAACACTGCTTTCAATGCCCTCTATAGGCCAATAGCTCCCATGAACCTTCAGCCCTTTCTCCAACCCTCCAGATTCATGTTTCCAACGGTCTACGTGGCATTTCCATGTGGATGACTAATAGCTCAAATTTAACATTGCCAAAGTAGAACTCTTGATATTCCCTTATCCCCTCCCTGAGTTTCCCTAATCTCATATCCAATCTAGTTGCTCAAGTTAAAAATGTAGGAATCATCTTTGATTCTACTTTCCTTTCCTCACCACTCCCATCAGCAAATCCTATCAATTTTATCTCCAAAATATCCCAAGGCAATTGACTCACCAACTCCACCTCAGCTGCCCTGGTGAAATCCCCCATCAATGCTCACATGAAACCACCACAAAAGTCTCCGGACTTGTGTCTTTGCTTCTACTCTTGCCTCTACTTCTATAATCCATTTTGCACACAGCAGTGATCTTTTCAAAATGTATTTTAGATCATGCCATTCCTGTTTAACCACCTGCTATGGTCTGAATGTTTGTGTCCCCTCAAAATTCATATGTTGAAATAATAACCTGCAAGATCTGGAGGTTTTAGGAGCTGGGGCCTTTGAGAGGTGCTTAGGTCATGAACGCAGAGCCTTCATGAATGGGATTAGTGCCTTCATAAAAGAGGCCCCACAGAACTCCCTTGCCCCTTCCACTGCAAGAGGACACAGGTAGAAGTAGGCAGTCTACAACTCAAAAGAGAGCCTTCATCAGATCATGATCATGCTGGTGCCTTGATCTTGCTTTCTAGCCTCCAGAATTGTGAGAATTTTCTCATGTCTGTCTATAAGCTACCCCGTCTGTGGTATTTTGTTATAGCAGCTGGAAGGGACTAAGACACCACCCCTCTGCCAGCATTTCCCACTCTTCTTGATTACAAAAGCCCTACATGATCTGGTCTTTGCTGCCCCCTCCAGCCTCAATTTTTACCACTCTCCCCTTGATTCACCACTCGAACCACATAGGCCTTTCCCTTCACCAAACACAAGTTTATTTCTTTAAATAGAGTCTTGCACTGTTTCCTCCTCCACCAGGAAGATTCTGCCCCAATTTCACACAGCGATTCAGGTCTTAACTCTAAATGTGTGCTCAGGAGAGGCCTTTCCCCACCACCCAATCTAAGGTAGCCCTGCAGTCACTCTGTCTCATGTCGCCCAAGTTTAAGTCTCTGTATAACACTTGTCTTTGTTTATTCTATAATGTAAGCTCCGTAAGACTGTCTATCTCGTTCCCTGTCTAGAATGGTTCTTGACAAACAGTAGATGCTCAATAAATGTTTGTGGAAAGAATGAATGGATGATAGGCATCAGATACTTATTCAATAATCCAAATCCAAACTAGGAACACCAATCATTTGCAAGAGATCAAAGAGAATGGGCTTTCCCAGCTTCCTACTACTCCAAAGCTCAATTTACACTTTGACTTAGGGCCTGGTTCTGATCAAACAGACAATAGAGAAGATAGCTGCAGCTGAGAAAAAATGAGCTATCTCTGGAAAATTACTAGATCTGAAATCTCATCCCAAGTTTAATACCAGCCTCTTTAGTTCCTCATAGTAAACCCAGCACTGACAACAGATTTATGTAAGTGCGGAGGAAAGGGGGTACCATCGTAAAAATTCACCTGCTTGGCCCACAGGTGGGCTCTTGGGTTTCCTCTCCTCTAAGCATTTAGCAATAAATCATTCCAACAATGTTTCTCTCATGCGTAAAGGGAAAAACAAAACTAAAAAGAAATTATACCAACTTCTGTGATGTAGCAAAAATATTTATTAAAATAAATTTTTTTCCCAAGTTTGAATTTTATTGGAAGGAATCCTTCTAATTCACTCTTTCATCCCAGATAAATGAAGTAACAAGTACTATATACAGAATACAAAGCAGTGATAAAAAAAAAAAAATCCCTCCTAAAAATTAGCCCACCCAGTAGCACAGTGAAAGAAATGGGATTCTCCAGGGCCTCAGAAAGTTAAAAGTGGCACCTTAGGTGATCTAAGAAATCAATTATATTCTCACGGTTTTCCTTGTGGTTCAAGATTAGAAGAGTTAGGAGGCCACCACCTGTTTTAAGAGGTAGACTATATGCTTTCTACTAGTCCACCATTTCCTGGTCAGCGTGGCCTCAATAGATTCTCACACCTCACTCAGTCCATCTGCCTTTGGTGATGGCCAGAAGATCTCTATGCCCCAGGCAGCAAGGCTTCCTGCTGATCTCTATTTAAGATCCATGAACCTGATATCCATGATGAGAAGGAAGTTCTTAGGCAGTGGGCGGGGGGCCGGAGAGAGAACAGTAAACACTTGATGCTCTAGGTCCACACTGGTCACCACGATGAAGCCAGCCACACTGGTCTCAGAAAGGTTCTCCTCTGTGCCCTCAGCAGTGCTAACACTCAGGAGGTGGTGCACCATATCTCGGCCAGGGGTGACAGGTACTAGCTTGAGCTGATTGTCCTCCTGAGACATGCCCAAGGGCAAACAGGAGTCTGGGATGGTGGGTGCCCCAACTTTGTAGATTTTCACATCTGAAAATTTGACATTGAAGGCGTGGGGATAGAAACAGCCCCGGAATCCATAGAAATATTCCCGGATACGCTCATCCCTACATTCCCGCCGGAAGTCTTTGGAGCGCTCAACCACACCCCCTGATTTAGGGAGCAGCACAGTGCGTACAAAGTGAGGCAGGTCCCGCTTCAGTTCATTGTACAGTCGTTCTTGATCCAGAACCACCACCACATCCACCTCAAAGGCTGAGGCTGCATGCACCAGGGCCTGGTAACCTGAGCCCTTGACCCAGCCACAGGTGTTAATGACACAGCCACTCACAGAGGCCCTTCGATTCACTTCACACCTTTGGTTGAACACATCTGCTAAACGAGATGTAATCTGCAGAAGAAAGGATCAAGGTGAGGGAAAAAAGCCCAAATCGAACAAACCTATAGCTATTTTGTCCCACTTTATTTTTCCTGTTTTTTTTTTTTTGTGATGAAGATCAGCCCTGAACTAAGATCCATGCCAATCCTCCTCTTTTTGCTAAGGAAGACTGGCCCTGAGCTAACATCTGTGCCCATCTTCCTCTACTTTATGTGAGACGCCTCCACAGCATGGCCTGACAAGTGGTGCGGCAGTGCATGCCTGGGATCCAAACCCGGGCTGCCAGCAGCGGAACACGTGCACTTAACCGCTACACTACGGGGCTGGCCCCTAGTCCCACTTTAGAATAAGTGGTATTAGGTACAAGAAAAATTACATTCTTTTTTTGTGTGTGAGGAAGATCAGCCCTCAGCTAACATCCATGCCAATCCTCCTCTTTTTGCTGAGGAAGACCAGCCCTGAGCTAATATCTATTGCCAATCCTCCTCTTTTTTTTCCCTTTTTCTCCCCAAGGCCCCAGTAGACATTTGTATGTCATAGTTGCACATCCTTCTAGTTGCTGTATGTGGCACGCAGCCTCAGCATGACCGGACAAGCAGTGCGTTGGTGTGAGCCCGGGATCCAAACCCGGGCCGCCAGTATCAGAGTGCACACTTAACCACTAAGCCCCAGGGCTGGCCCCCAAAAATGACATTCGTAATGGCTGTGGTTTTGACCCCATAACATGAATTTAATTTTTGTTCTATGTTTCTTCTGTCTCCTGGTTCATGTCCTAAGTGGAAATTTAATAAATGACTTAAGAAAAGGTCCACAGAGGGGCCGGCCCAGTGGCACAAGCGGTTAAGTGCGCACACTCTGCTGTGGCGGCCCAGGGTTCGCCAGTTCAGATCCTGGGAGTGCACCGATGCACCACTTGGCACGCCATGCTGTGGCAGCGGCCCATATGAAGTGGAGGAAGATGGGCATGGATGTTAGCCCACGCACGGCCAGTCTTCCTCAGCAAAAAGAGGAGGATTGGCAGATGTTAGCTCAGGGCCGATGTTCCTCACACACACACACACACAAAAAAAGAAAAGGTCCACAGAAACATTTAATCATCTGAGGTTGACTTACATTTGAAACCGTCTTTTCCAAATCATGTGGCAATAATACCAGCTGAGAGGGACCAAAGAGATGGCTGTATACAGTTTTAACTAGCAAACTTCTGCACAGCCTCCTACCCTGATAGCAGCCCTTCCCTCCACCCCACCTTGGCTTTGGCTCTGACCTTATTATAAAGCTTGATGTTGGTGCCAGGAGTAGTGGAGCCAAAATGATACACCAGAGGGGCCTGGATAGAGAAGCCCTCTTCAACATCTGCTGGCCGCTCAATGTAGAGGGCTCCCATGGTACCAGGGATGGACACAGAGCCCTGACCCACATCCAGCTCCACGTAAGTGGGCCGGCGGCCCAAACGCACAGCGTAGTTGAGCAGTAGACGGCACACCGTGGACTTGCCCACATCAGTGGGGCCCACTACCATCACCCGGGGACCTCGTTCTTCTTCCTTCTCTGCCTGTCTCCGCATCTGCTCCAAGGCTGTATGAGTGTTGAGGTAAAGCAACATAGGAGTGTCCTTGGAGACATAAGCCACCTCGGTGCGGCCACTCAGCTGTACAGAACAGCCATGCCAAGTGAAAACAGCCACCTTGGCACCAGCATCAAAGGTGAATTTCTTGTTTCGGGTCAGCTCCGTGCCAAAGATTTCAGCCATGCCAGCCAGCAGCTCCAACTGAACTGACTGAGACGCCTCCACCTCAAAGCGAAGTTCTGTTTCTCGCTCTAGTTCAAATTTAGTTGTTGGCTTCTTGTCATCACTGGCCTCCTCTCCCATCTTTTCCGTGTAGCTGCTGTGCCTACAACACAAGTTGAATATCAGATCTAAACATAAGTTAGGACTCTGTTCAAAATCCTCCAATGGGGCCGGCCTGGTGGTGTAGCGGTTAAGTTCGGGCATTCTGCTTCAGCGGCCTGGGATTCACCAGTTCAGATCCTGGGCACAGACCTACTCAGCGCTCACGCCCGCTGAGACAGCATCCCACATAGAAGAACTAGAAGGACCTACAACTAGGATATACAACTATGTACTGGAGCTTTGGGAAGAAAAAAGAAAAAGAGGAAGGTTGGCAACAGATGTTAACTCAGGGCCAATCTTCCTCAAAAAAAAAAAAAAGAAAGAAAAAGAAAAAAAAATCCTCCAATGGATGTTTCCCCCACCTTGCTTTATTTTTCTCCTTATCTCTGATCACCATCTGTCTCACTATATATTTGTTTCTTGTCTGTCCATCCCCACTAGAATGTAAGGGTTGGGCATTTTTGTTTGCTGCTGTATCTCTAGTACCTAGAATACGGCCTGACAACCTGTAGGTACCTCTACAAATACAACGAGTGAATAAATGACTCAGACATATGAAGAAAACTATATTTACAGATTGATAGACTTGATTACATCACCTTCATCGCTCCCTTCATCACTCTATTGGGATCCAGACTGGAGAAGGTAACAGATACTTCCCAATCCTCTTAGTCAACAAGAAAGGGCGTCTGCAATCCGGATGCAAACAAGACAATACCAACTTCGGACTTAGAAAACAGCATTAAAGCTCCGCTCAGCAACTACCAGTAATATCTGTAGACAAATCACTTAACCTCTCTGAACCTTTTCGTCAGCTGTCAACTGGAGGCACGCACACTTCCTCACTCCAAATGTTGTTCTGGGATTAAGAGGGATTGTTGGAGGAATATATTACTCCGTAAACCAGAAAACGCCGAAGAATTATTTCCGATCCCGGCCCCCAGCTCTAGGTTCAGCGTTTGCCCCAGCCTCCCCAGACACCAAAATTCGTCCAGGCCCCCAGGAGGCGACGGTTGCGTTCCTGAGCTTATTATCTCACCTGCACAGTCACGAAACCAAACCGATAAACCAAGAAGCCCTCCAGTTAAGACCCAGGGCAACTAGAAGCCACGCTCCCACAAACCCACGCCGGAAACAAAGGCGGTTCCGCACTTGCGCAGTGGAGGAGCCGCGGTCGCGCGATACCCCTTGGGAAACGTAGTTGTGCCGGAACAGCCGCGAGTGGTTGAGCTCGCGCTGCCGCTCGGCCTTCTGGGAGTTGTAGTTAAAGGATTGTTTTGATCGTGACGCCAAAGGTGGGAGGGGCGGCGGCCGTCATTGTTCGCGAAGCCGGAGGGAGGCGTGGCGGTTACGCCCCCGCAAGGGGGCGGGGCCCGGCCGAGAAGCGAATGGTCCCCCGAGGCGCGGCGGTTGCGGACTGTCGCTCCCGTGTTCCCGCTCACCTGCAGCCCGGAGAGGGGAAGGATGGTGGGAAGGATGGTGGGAAGGGAGGAGGACTCTCTGTGTACGTCCCACGAGCGCCTGGAGGTGGGGAAATTAGCAAAACCCCATTTGGGCACGAGGAAACTGAGGGATAGGGACAGTGAAGGACAACAGCCTGCCAGAGGCTAACCTGGGCTATCATCCCCTACCTGACACAGTGCTTGGCACCGAGAGCGCATTAAAAACATTTTTTTAAATAAAAGAATAAAAGTCCAAGAACTTCTTCCATTTACTCTATAAGTCGGTCATTATCCAACAACTTCTCTCCTACGGAGCAGGGGGACTTTTGTTGGAGACTTGTTTCCCTCCCTAAATCCCTGACAGTTATGCAAGGTCAACCATTTACCCCGCAGGCAACAGGTTGGGCCACATCTACAATCCTCCTCTCGAGAGTCTGGGCTGAGGAATCTTGTATTCTGTGCTACACCACGTGTTCCCTGTGTGACTTTGGGCAAATCACAGGCTTAAACTCTTGTCTGTAAAATGGGGATAATAACAGTACCCAACCTCTTAAAGTTGATTTGAAAATTAAATGGAATGATGCATGTAAAGTACTAAACATAATGCCTGTAACATAGAAAGCATCTGATGTTGGCTCTTAAGTTTTTAATATAGGTTGGGGGGGGCTGTAATAATGCCATCCATTTGTATAGTAGTTTACACTTTTCAAATCCTTTCCGGGTATCTTCTTCCACAGCCACCCTGTAAAGTCAGTTTTATTATCTCCAGCTTCAGATGACAGAGGAGACTAAGATAGGTGAAGGGACTTCCCCAAGCTAGGACTCAAACCTAGGATTTTGGAGTCTGAGTCCAATTTTTAACGACAGCAAATACCTATCTAGTGTTAGATGCCAGGTACTGTTGTATGGGCGTTACAGGTGTTAATTCATTGAGTCTTCACAAGAATTCTGTGAAGCATATACTATAATTGTCATCCCACTTTATAGATGAGTACTTTTTTCCACCCAGCTCACATGGTTAATCCAGATTGAGAAGGCTGGGATGATTTTCTGGGTTGCCTTTTTCCCTCTGGCCCTACCTTAGCACTCACTCTCTGAGAGTGCCATCCTCACTTCTTACAGTTTTTTCTTTGTTCAATTTATTTCATCATTCACCATTCATTCATTAGTTCTCCAATTAGCTGTTAAGTATCCCCTTATCTTTCACCATTCTTCAAAAATTTAGTTCCAGTCTTCTATTTGCAAATTTTCTCCCTGAGTGAGCTCATCCTCTCCTGTTCCCATGCAGTCTATCTCCCAGATCTGTTTCTTAGCCTCCACACTCTCCCCCTTGAGGCAATTTCTCCCAGTTGTCTGAAGGTCATCTTTATTTGGATATAGCCATCTCAAGCCGAACTTAGGGAGAAAAAACCCCTCCCCCCATTTAGACTGCTCCTCATTTTGCTTTTCAAACACAGAAAGAGTCAGGACACATTTAAAGCATCTGTGTTTGCCTACACTATCTTTTCTCACTTTCAATCTTTCACCAAGCACTCCTGTCATCTCCACCCCACTCCCAAATAATACTGACCTCATATGTCTTTTTCATTCTTCTCTCCAGCAAAATCCTTGATCATTTTCTTCCTGAGTTAATTGAAATTAATTGGTATCCGTTTTGCTTCCAGACTTTCAATCTTTGCCCTAAAAACTACTCACCTTCCTTTTCCCCATTTCCCACTGTTTTCCTCAACAATGGTTCCTCAAATTCCTCCTCCTCTTACATTCATTTCCTTTCCCATCTGCTGCCCAGACAAAAATATTTCTCTCTTCTTTTTTTACCCAGTTCTCCCTCTCAATTCCAAACCTCTGGTAATATCACTCAAAATACCCACATTGTGTTTTCAGAATTTACCTTAAACCCCAGAATCTTCCCTGATTAAATATTCAGAGTTCCTTTTATTTTTTCATACCCAGCTAGCAATGTCTCCCATTAACCAACTTCCCTATCTTAATTTTCCCCCTTCCTTACATGTGAAAAGAAAAACAAAACACCCACAAGCTGTCCTTTCTAAGTCTCTATCTTTGTTGCACTTTTTTTGCTGAATGTTAGCCTTGGTCAGAAATTCAGGTTTTAATCTTAGAGGTTATGTTCTGTGTCCACATACTTTAGTGACATGCACAGGGCAACACTCCATGAGAAATATTCTGAGTCAAATGAAACATAACTGGAAGCTGATAGAAAAACAGCACCAAAAAGATGTAAGTTCTTCATAAGATACAACTTTGGTGCATGATTCTTGAGATATCAGAATTTAATAAATCCTCTCTGGGTTTAGGGATATTAAGTTGAGAACAGTCTTGAAATAACAGTAACTACTGTTCACTAAGTGCCTAGCATGTGTTTTTCCGTCACTTTTTAGGTGTTTACATTATCTCACTTGACTTCACATCTCCATGAGGTAAATATTAGCTTCATTTAGAAGAAGAGGAAGACTGGGGCACAAAGAGGATCATTCACTTGGCCATTGGTTCCTGGGGTGTATATTGGCAGAGTGGGTTTCCAACTCATGTCTCTTTGAGACCAAAGCCAGACACTTGGACCACGTCTGAAGATGCAACTCAACTGCTGTTTTGTGAGCATCTTCTGTATGCAAGGCTCTGCACTAGGCATTGCAGTCCTGGGATGCAGAGAGGAGTTTCCCAGAGGACCTGCCTCAGAAAGTTTACAGCCCAGTAGAGAACCTTGTGCAATATAGGTGTGTCCGTTCAGGAAGTACAAGTAATCTGGAAGTACCTGATAAGCGGTTCCTGCGTGTGAGATGTCATATTTAGTCTATGTCTCCTTCCCGAGTATTAAGCTGAGGCTTTGAGGCTTGGAAGTGTCTGGTATAAGCTTAGGGAGCACAGTTTGCCATATGTGACAATTAATATGTCTTTCTTTTCCCTGTGTCAGGGCTAGCATCCGAGCCAAAATGGGAAATGCATCATCTTGAAGGTGTGTGCCTGCGCCTGACTCTCTGCATCCATCTCTCACCGTCACTCGCCTTGCCACCTCCTTTCGTCCAGCTCTGCCACCCGTACTCCATTCTTGCCCAGCCCTGTCCTTCCCCTAGGTTCTTTCTATCTTTGGCCGCACTGCCTTCCTCCTCAGCAACCAGCCTCTCCTCTAGCTCGCCCCCTCCCCATCTTGTCCCTCCGCTCCCACCGCCCCCCACCTCATTCCCCCAGCCCCAGCCCTCCATGCCTGCCCCCTCCCTTCCTCCCGACCCGCCTCCTGTGTCTCCCAGCCCTGCTCTGACGTGGGAGGTGAGGGGGGTGGGGGGTTGGATGACTCACAGTGTTATGATGCAGTTCCACAACACACAGCTACATTCACCCACAGACCGAGGTACAGACGAGAGACAACCTCTGGCCCCCCAGCAGCTGGCCACCTTTGCAGCCCCAGCCTTGAACCCCCCGACTACCCTCCCCCCCATCCCCTTCCCAATTGAAGGAGCGGAAAGAGAAGAGAGAAGAGTGAGCAGAGAGATTGAGAGAGAGAGAGAGAGAGAGAGAGATAGACGGAGATCTCTGGAGCAGACCTCAAGGTGAGGGGGCAGCCCTTCTCCAAATGAAAATTTTTTTCCCTTTGCAAATTTCCTCTTCCTGCTGCGTGTTGCTTTCTCCCCTTCGCAAAAGCATTATTCATCCACCCTTTGTCCTCCCTTCCCCCTCCCCGCTGCCTCCGCTCCTCTCTCAGCTCCTCCATCCCTCTCCAAGCTCTGACGGTTCCCGCACTGATTTCCCGGCGACTTGGGCTGCGGCATCAGGCTTCACTGTTTGTTTTGCTGCTGGTGCAGACCCCCAAAGCCCGCCCTGGGAGCTGGCTGCGCTGCTAATTACGTGGACCATACCATGCGGAGAATGTCAGCCCGGGGTGGGGGGGCGAAGCCTCAGAGCAGATGAGAAAATCCATTGTGAGCAGGTGTCCCCCTCCCTTCCCCCCCCCCCCGGAGAGGCACGGGATTCGCACCTGGTTCCTTGAGCCTCCGCCTCCGGCGCCTCTGCTGTCAGCGCTGGTTGCTCAGCACGCACCCACCGCCAGCCCTCCCTCCCACGGTCCAGCCCCGTCTCACTTAGGGGAACATTCTCTCCCGGCGCTCAGCTTGCCTTCGTTTTTTCCCGTCATTTGCCCAACTTGCTTCTCCCTGTGATCCGAGATGAGGGAAGAAATGACCCCTTCTCCCCTTCCTGTGAGTGATTCTGTGGCCTTCTGTGCAGCCTCTCCTTGGCTTGCGGGGGAAACAGGGGAGAGAGAGAGGGAGGGAGGCGTGGCGGAGGCTGAGGAAGGAGCCAGAGAGCAGGGACCTGGCCGGCCTCCTCGCCGGCCCCCTTGAAGAAGGTGTGCTGGGTGCAGCGCGGCGGTGGGGAACTTGCAGACAAAGTTGAAGGCAGACCTGTGAAGTGGACGCTGAACAGTGTTCTGCGGGTGAGGAGGGCCCATTTCCTGCGGCCAGAGCCCAATGTCACCCTGAACTCAGCCCAAGGTGTCCTCCTGGGGCCCAGCCAGGGGGAGAGGACCTGAAACAGAAGGTGGTCTCTGTCGGGGGTCTCATGGAGACTGCCTGGCAGCCCCAGGAAAGACTGGAACAAATGGGGCGCTAGTGGCCGCCGCAGAGGACAGCACGAGAGCCCGTTTGCCCTGGCTACTCAGAGCTGGGCTGCCCCTGCTCTGCTTAGTGGCCTAGCATTGCCAGAGCACCCAGCTGGCATCTCTGAACCAGACTTGGGCTAAACCACTCACAACGGGCCCGAAGGCCCCGTGAAGAAGGCAGCACCTCACCTGCTTATCAGAACCAACAGAGGACACCTCCCTTCTTATCCTCTGCCTCCAGCACCCGCAGCCACTTTGGGGCTGGAGTCTGAGCATCTTCCTCGATATTCCTAATCAGAACCCAGCAATTATTTTATCTCCTGTCACCCACAGAGTCACTGCTGTTTTCCCTGCCCCTGGGAGAATGTGGAAAGCATTCTCTCTGCCTTGTACCCCAAAGCACAGGTTTTGAAAATAAGAGAGTTCCCCCCTTCTGCTGCCCATTGTAGAGGCTGCTCCCACACCACACCAGAGCCCTGCTCGCCCTGGAAGTGCTGGCCTCCCTGTGGTCCCCATTTCCCGTTGCTTCCAGCTGTCAGATTTGTCTGAAGGAAAGAGAGTTTCTCTCCTACAGCTAGGTGCTTAAGCCCTTAACTGAGGGGTAAGGCAACAGTTAGTAAAGAGCAGGAGAGAGACCAAGGGGCCCAGAGGCTGAGAACACAGCCAGGCGCTGCTTCTGGGCCGGAATGAGTAGAACAAGGTGCAGGATTGGGCAAGAGCCAGGTGTGAGGTGTTCGGTACCCAAAGAAGCATCCATCAAGTTCTAGTTCCTAGAGTGCAGGGTCCCAGCCCCAGGAGGCGGCTGAAGCAGGCTGTGTGTACCTGCCTGCCTGTCCTCCCTCCCTCTCTGATCACGCCCCTCCCTCCTACACAAAATGTATGAAGGACCAACTGTGTTGCAAATGGAGGCCACGAGAAAGAAAAACTGTCAGGCATGTCCAACTTTTAAAAGGCTTTGAGCCCCAGAGCCTACCAGTGCGTGTGGAAGGCAGATCCTCGCAGAAGAACCGAAAATCAAGGAAAGAGCACTTGCAAATGACGTTGCTCCCATGGCAGCGACTGTGCCAGCGGGCGGCTCTCAGTGGAAAATGGTGGAGGCTGCTCCCGCCCCAGGAGGGAGAGACACCACCTCCCCGGCTACGCCACCAGAGGCCTGGAACCGCCACCAGAGCCAGAGCACACGTCCATCCAGGGGACAGGGAGAAACAGTGCTACTGGACGCTGAGGAGGGTTGATGGTGATGGGGGAAGTAGGGGCAGAGGTGAGCTGAGCCCCATCTTCTCCATTCCCCCAGGAGGGGCTCCTCACGAGGTCACGGCTCTCCTGATGTACCTTCTCCTCTCTCCAGGTGCCTTCTGTTTCTATCTGGTTCACGTCTGGGGGGGCCCTGGCCGGGCAGCCCCCCCACATTTCTCCTGCCCTGAAACACGGCTCTAGCCAACCTGCTCCGCTGCTTCACCTGCGACCGTCTGTGTGGGGGCTGCACAGCGCCAGCCCCGCCTGCCCGCCAGGGCATCGTCCTCCAGCCCGTCATGCCCAGTTGTGACCCTGGCCCAGGCCCTGCCTGCCTCCCCACCAAGACGTTCCGCAGCTACCTGCCCCGCTGCCACCGCACGTACAGCTGCGTCCACTGCCGCGCGCACCTGGCCAAACATGATGAGCTCATTTCCAAGGTATGCCAAGTGGGGGCCTGGCACTCCCCTCCTGTCTCCCACCAAGCTTGTCCAAACATCACCTAGGGGTGAGGCAAGGAAGCCCGTCCTCCCTCCTTCATGCCCCAGGGGGATTCAGGCAGCAGGGACCAGGGCTACTCAGTAGTCACTGTCTATCCTGTGTCTCCACAGTCCTTCCAAGGGAGCCATGGCCGAGCCTACCTGTTTAACTCCGTGTGAGTCTACCTCTCTCCTTGTGCGTGCGTGCTTGCGTGTGTATGTGAATAATTTTCCTCTGTGGAGAAAGGGGGTGAGCCATCAGAAGGTGGCCTTGCACTTTCTGATTTTGCCTCTACTTTTGCAAAGGGGTTCAGAAACTCAGTCTGCACTTCCCACGTGGGGAGTCTGGGCAGAACCAGAATCACAGCGCTGGAGAAAGGCCCAGGCACTAGTCATAAAGGGGTGGATTGCTGAAGGCAGGGGCTTCCAGTTGGATGGGTTAAGCTCTTTCCAGATGTAAGTTCCTTTGGGCTGTTTGGGGGCTGGACTGACAGAGCGACCCCACTGGGTGCTGGGTCCTTCCTGTTTCCTGAGACAGGGTCAACGTGGGCTGTGGGCCAGCTGAACAGCGCCTCCTGCTCACGGGGCTGCACTCAGTAGCTGATATTTTCTGCGAAAGCTGCAAAACTACACTGGGTTGGAAATATGTAAGTACCTGAAGAGAGGGCCACCCTCTAAAGTGGACAGTCTCCATGGCCCTCCAAGCCCCAGTGACCACATCAGGTCTTTGCATGGTCCAAAGAGGGAAGAGGGAGCTAGTAACCGAGTCGGACTAGGCAAGGGGTCCTTGGGGGCAGGGATGATACAGGAGGCACTAGGAGGGCCTGGACGGGGACTGCTTTGTCCTACAGTCACTGCTTCCCCTCCACCAGGAACAAGCTTTTGAGACGAGCCAGAAGTACAAGGAAGGGAAGTACATCATCGAAATGTCACACATGGTGAAGGACAACGGCTGGGACTGAGGGGCTCAGGCAGGCTGTGCCCTCCCTCCGCATGCCCCACCCTCCCCACACCTGTCCCCTGGCCCTGCCAAGCAGTCCATACCAGCATGAGCACTGCCCCACCCCTGGGGGGAACCTGGCTCCCACAGACTCCTCCCCCGCCTCCACCCATCACCCCTAGGCCCCTTTGGAACAGGGCTCTGGGGTACCCCAGGGGTGTTCAAGGCTCAGGAGTGGGCAGCAGTCAGGGAGAGACAGAACTGGGGCAAAGGGATGATTCTGGGTCCTTCTGGCCCCAAGGTCCTGAAAATCGAGGCAATGGCAGGGCGTAGACTCAGGCAAAGAGGACCTTGGGAGGAACGTGTTTGCTTCACCTTTTTTGAGTGAACAAAGGACCAACCTTGAGTCATGGGGCTGGTAGATGCTTGGCCACAGAAGAGCAGATGAGAAAAGGCTTGAGCTGGAGTGAAATTTTGGCCTCAGACACGGGGAGATTCCAGAGTCTCTGAGGGTGAAGTTTCCCACCCCCGTTTGTAGGAGAAAGAATTTGGGGGTGGAAGGAAAAATCCCAAATCCCAGGCCCTGGGAAAAAAATAGAAGAATTACAGGGGTTTCCATTTCACTCCACTTGTTGATCTTGGCACTAATGAGGCACTTCGGAATATCTAACCTTCACCGTTGGGTGGGGTGGGGAAGCTGCCCCTGGAACAGCCCCACCCCCAGCTGGCCGTTTCCAGAGCGAGCAGTCCTTATAGGCATTCTCTGGGGTCCAGCCAGTGCTCCCTGGGACTCAGTCCCCTGGAGGGGAGGTGGGGAATCAGTGCTGCGGGGTCAGGCTTCCTCGTGGCTGCCACCAGCGAATGAAACTTTTGTATGATACCTAAAGTGTTTGGGTCTATTTTTAATAAAAAGGGCAACTGTGAGGCGCTGTCCTCTGACTTTCCTTCCTCAAGCTGTTACCACGTACTGGCTAGTCACACACAACCCCCCGGGCCTATCCCTTCCTGCCACTAGGGGGCAGCAATTGCTTTGCCTGTGCAAGACCCCACTTGAGCTTTGACCAGGGGATGGGCAGTCAGGTGAGGTTTTGCTTAGTAAGAGGGATGGCTTTTGTGAGTGGTATTCCAGCCGGAGCCATCCAAAACAGCTGGCATCTTCCAGAGCCCTTGACAATGAATCCATTTTTGCCTGCGTCCAGGGTTGAGCAACTGAAAGAGGCTCATCCCAGAACAAGGGTGTTCTTGGGTCCTGCTGCCTTTCAGTCTGGTTGTGTAATGTTTTGGTCAGCTCATAGCCACACTTAAGGCTAAAAAGAAAAATCGATCAGCCAAGGTGCTGCCCTGGCAGTTGATACAAAGTGGAACAAAATAGCTCAAAATCGCAGCCTCAGTGCAACCGTATGACCCAAGTGGAATTTTTAGCAGTGATGTGAAATTCCTATTGTTGTTGGGTCACCAACCACTGCAGGGAGGACTGTACACATCGTAAAAATCATTTGTCAGCTAGCTTGTTATTTCCAGGTTCATTCATTGGTATTGTAAATATCCGTAGAGCCCCTATTACTTGCTAGGCATTGTGTTAAAGCACTGAGGATGCAATGGAGAACAAGGTGGCCACAGCCTGACCTCATGAAGCTTTCAGTCTAGAGGAAGGACAATGACAATTCCAGTAGAAAGTGACAAGGGCTCTGAGCAGGGATGGGACGTAAGCTCGGGGGCTCGTACGAGAGGCTTAGCCTAGATTTGAGAAGTCAAGGAAGGCTTCACAGAAGTGATGACTATGATGGCACTTGAGGTTGGGTGGGCAAGGGGGAAGAATGGAGGGAGAAGGAATATTTCAAGCAAAGAGAACAGTGCATCAAGCAGCTCAAGCTTAGTTAATTTGAGGAGGAAATAAAAGCTTCCTATAGCTGGAGTATAGGTGCAAGTGGGTGAGATGGGATGACACAGGAAAGAGGGGCCATAAACCATTTAGGGAATCTGGATTCATCCCAAGGGCATTGGGGAGACATTGAAAAGGTCTTCTTTTTCAACAAGGAGTGGCATCAAATGGCTGTTTTGTGCCCAGAAAAGAGGCTCAAATAGAAATGTTACTAGACTGCAATAAAGGACATCAAGCTAACTGTACCATCTCAAATACTATTGTTAACATCAGAATGGAGAGGCTGTCTGGGCAGGAGAAAGGCAAAAGAGAACTGGAAGACGCAGAGGTGTGAAGGCGGCAAATGCAAGCCATGAAGGAATGATGCCCAGCACCTCCATCTGAAAGGCCTCAGGAGGTCTGTCCCATCGTTCAGCCTGGTGAGGCCTCGAGATCCTTCTCTCAGGCTCCAGCAAGGGCTGCAGAAACCCGGTCCCTTTCGGTCTCACTTCTTGCACCAAAGTTCAGGGCGGCTTCTCAAGCCCCAAGCTCTGACCTTGAAAATCAGGCACAAACTCCCCAAATCTGCCTCTTTCTCAATTTACTTTAACAAGTTCTGATTAAGCCAACTAGGTACTGTGGGAAAGAAACAGAGAAGTAAATGGCATAATCGTTGCTCCCAAGTTCCTTGTCATCTCTCCTGGAAGAATCCTTCTGTGGGCTTGGCTCAAGGGAACTTATTTAATCTCTATGATCAGGCCATGGGCAGTACTGTCCAAATCTTGGATGCCCAGACAGGTATACCCTGGAGAAGCATCATTATCAAATACCCTGTGACCAAGAGGGGTCGTGTTAGGAATGGCAGGTGGAGATGAGGTCTCCTTTCTATGCCCCAAGAGCCAGGGAAGGGGCCGGCCCCGTGGCTTAGTGGTTAGGTGCGCACGCTCCGCTACTGGCGGCCCGGGTTCGGATCCCGGGCGTGCACCGACGCACCACGTGTCCGGCCATGCTGAGGCCACGTCCCACATACAGCAACTAGAAGGATGTGCAACTATGACATACAACTATCTACTGGGGCTTTGGGGGAAAAAAAGGAGGAGGATTGGCAATAGATGTTAGCTCAGAGCCGGTCTTCCTCAGCAAAAAGAGGAGGATTAGCATGGATGTTAGCTCAGGGCTGATCTTCCTCACCATAACAAAAAAAAAGAGTGAGTCAGGGAAGGAGCTGCAGGTGTGAATGCCAGGAGCAAACACCTGTCCCTGGGGAGTAGTCCTTTTGTGTTAGCTCTTTTTCTTTTCCTGTGCATCCCTTTTTTCTCGTGGAGGTCTACTCTGGTCCTAACAGCGATTCTTCCAATCTTCTCCACCTACCCTCCAATCCCAGGCTGTCTGGGAACTCTTCCTTCTTAGCCAACAAGCTACGCCTTTCATCCTTCAAGTCTTGAAACTTTGGAAGATACCCTCAGACAACCAGCAGGTGGCATCAAAACCTTCCACCCCGCAGCTCAAGCAATCTACCAGTTGAGAGAACCTACTCAAACCTTACCAGATAGGTCTACAAAAAAATGGGTGAGCTATCAGCCTTAGAGCTAGGCTCTGCAATTGAAAAGCTGTACAGCGTTGGCCATAATGCTTAAACCTTTCTGGCACTCAGTTTTTTCATCTGTAAAATGGGAATGTTACTTGCCAAGAAGTTATTAGGATTGACCGTAACGTATTAAGTGTCTAGCACACAGACTGCATGGGGAAGTGCCTCCATAAATGTGAGCTATTTGTATGACTCCTAATAGTGAGGCTTCCCAAATTCCCACCAGGGTCGCCGATTGGTGCCCAGATGGGAAAGGAGGTCTCGACGCTGAGGAGGCAGCCGGCGCTGGGGAGCACTACACGGCCAATGCCCTTTTAACATTGCACTGCTAGTGGTAGGTGCAGACAGTAGCACAATGTGAAAAGAGCTCCGGCCAGCAGCAGAGGCATGCCGGCCCTGCCTCCTCGCCCCTTCTCCCAGCCCCTGGCCCACTCAGCTCTCTTGGCCTCCCTCTGCCCCTTCTCATCTTCAGCCCAGCTTGCCTCTCTTCTCTTCCGTTCTCAACATTAATCCTCTATTTTCTCTCCACTCCTCCTTTTGCTTTCTTCCTCACGCCCTTCCCAGCACCAAGACCACCTTTTTCTTGAGGTTTTGGGGTGGGGGAACAGGGTCTACAGAGGCAGCTGAAACCTGGCACTCAATCTTCACAGAAAGTGACTGGTAGAAACCCCAAAAGTTTGGGGGACATGAGCATGACACTGTGTTTATCTGGATTTGTATCTGCCAGCTTCCCTTCTGGAGAGGAGCTTGCTGACCGGGACCAGAGAACCCTCTATTCTTCCCCACTCCAAGCTCTCTCTCCTTTTTAGTTTAAATAAAGGAGTTCTAGGACCAGAGGGTGGGGGAGTAATCACAGGTCCTCAGGCAGCACAGAGAAGCTTCCAGGTCTGGAGGTGGATGCTGCAGGTGAAGCCCCACCCCTGCATCTCCTCTCTCGGAGGAATTCAAAACCCACTTTGTGGATTCAGCATCAAAGAAAATGGTGAGAGTGATTCCCTCTCTTGTACTGAGCGTTGGGGACAGGCTTTCATTGGCAGTGGGATTAGAATCTGAGTTGCTTCTAGTTTCATGCAGACTCCTGTGAGGGAGTCTTCAAGCTCACCCAGAACTTCCCCATCCTATCCTAGGTCAGGGGACTTAAACCCTAGATAAACAGTCCTGAGACTGATTAAAACTCAAAATCAGAAGACTACCCTGGAGGGATACCTAGATAGCCCCAAGGTTCAGAGCTCTAGCATGGCACATTCCTGGCTAGAGCCGTGGTCCTGGAAGCTCAACTCCAGGTCTGACCTGGTGAACCGCGTGCAGCCCAGAGGGGCAGAGGCCGCGGAGTGATTCCTCGGTGCACTGATCAATGAAGGCCTCTGGGCGATGGAGCGGCCCCTGGGAGATGACCTCCTCTCCACTCCACAGCCAGCAGGAGGAATGGAGAACAGAATTCCAGTTGGGAGCTCTTCCTCTGGGCTTCCCCTCCAGCCTCCTCCCACCCGCCTCAGGAAGCAGGAGAGGTTCTCTCCCGCCTTCCCAGGCAGAGTTTGTTCCTGTAATCTGCAAACATGGGGCCCTGTCCCACGTTTGCACAGTTCTAATGGACGGAAACCAAGGCCCTGCTAGGGTCAGTCACCAGGCCTCTGCTCCTGGGTTGGGCAAACCAATCCCAGCTGGGAACTGGATCATGTCAACAGGGGGCAGAGAGGCAAAGGCAGGACTGCCCAGCAAGCTTCAGGGAGGCTAGCGGAAGATTCTTCACCAAGGAGTGCCCAGACCCCTCCTTGGGGAGAGAAAAGAGAGGGGGCTGGGGCCAAGATCCCCTCAGCTCTCACACCCAACTCATTCCAGAGCGGGCCCTGCGATTCACCAGCCAGCAGGGCCCCTCCCCCACCTTGGGCCCAGGAGCCATTCCCCAGCTCCTTCTAGAGGCGGGTGTAGAGACCGAGGAGGAAATGGGGGAGGGGAGGCCTCGGCTCAAGTTCTCTCCACTCCCCCTCCTCATTGGCCACCATCTTCCGGCCCCTGCCCCCCAGAGCAGCAGGGGATGGGGCCCAGCCTGTGGAAGGGAAAGAAAGGGCAGGTGGAGGGTTAGCTGGAGCAGCAGGGGCAGGGGCTGGCCCCAACTGTCTCCTCCCACCCCCTCCCCGCAGCCATGGCGACAGGAGGAGGAGACCAGGAGGGTCCTGAAAGCCATGTTCTGTGAATGGGATGAGAGGGGCAGGGGGACATGGGGGGTGAGGGGCTCTCTCCCTCAACACCCAACTGTGCCCACCCCCCCACACACACCTCGAGGCTGGACCACACACGCGCGCACACGAACTCCCAGCCATACTTGCTACACAACTCAGCCCTTACTACACACTCACCCAAACAGCAAGCACTGGAGTGTGAGCACACGGCTCCCCCACCTTCCCGCACCCCTGAATACCCCACAACTCTTAGCTCAGGAGCGGGCCTCACACCCACACACAGCCCCTTGGCGCC